CATAAAAAGGAATGCATTCATGTCCTTTGTAGGGACATGGATGCAGCTGGAAACCATCATTCTCAGCAAACTATCACAAGAACAGAAAACCAAACACCATATATTCTCACTCATAGGTGGGAACTGAACAATGAGATCACTTGGAAACAGGAGGGGGAACATCACACACTGGGGCCTGTTGTGGGGTGGGGGAAGAGGGGAGGGATAAGCATTAGGAGAAATACCTAATGTAAATGACGAGTTAATGGGTGCAGAACACTAGCATGGCACATGTATACATATGCAACAAATTGCATGTTGTGCACATGTACCCTAGAACATTAAGCATAATTTAAAAAAAAGAAAAAAAAAACTTAAAAATGCAAAAAAAAAAAAAATTGGGATATGTCAAAAAGATGAAGGGGGCAACTGGAAGAAGCTCCCAATTTCCAAAGAGCTGGAAAAATTTGAATAATATAACACGGAATTTGATTTTGACCAAAGTATTAAATATTTATAAAAACATACTGTTAATAAATGAATAATTAAAATATATGAGAGAAAAAGGATGTTTATCTAAAACAGTATAATTACACAAAATTTTGTTGGTATTTCTTCATTCAAAGAGTTGGAGTTTAACCTGCATCTGTGGATTATGGCATAGGCTTTGGCACATGATAAAAATTCTTGCTCGCTTTAAACTTCTGAAATTTTAGATATAATACCAAAACATGCTAGAAAAAGTAGAAAATTTCACAGGGTCAACATTTTGTTTAATTATATGAAAAACACTCTTATGTAGTAGTGTAGCGACAAGTCTCAGAGCCAGTAATTCTTTGCCAAGGCCAATGCAGAGAAGAGTATTCCTAGGTTGTCTTTCTAGTTTTCTTTGTAGTTTGAAGTCTTAGTTTAAAGCTATAATCCATTTTGAGTTAATTTTCTTTTTCATGTGGTGATAGTTAGGAGTCAAGTTCCCGTCTTCTGCATATGGCTAGCAGGTTATCTCAGCACCATTTATTGACTAGGTTGTATTTTCCCCATTGCTGTTTATTTTTTTAGGGATTGTCAAAAAACAGAGGGTTGTAGGTTTTCAGCTTTATTTCTGAGTTTTCTATTCTACTACATTGGTGTATGTGTTTGTTCTTGTACCAGTACCACAAAGTTTTTGTTACTGTGGCTTTATAGTAGTTTAAGTCAAATAGTGTGATGTCCCTGGCATTGTTATTTTGGCTGAGGATTACTCTGGCTGTTTTGGTTCTTTTTTGGTTACATACAAATTTTAGAATATTTTCTTATATTTCTCGAAGAATAAAACTGGTATTTGATAGTAATAACATTGAATCTGTAAAATTTGAAGGATAATATTGCCATTTTGTGATATTATTTCTTCCAATCCATGAGCATGGAATGTTTTTTTCAATTTCTTTGTTTCCTCTCTGATTTCTTTCCAAAGTGTTTTGTAGTTCTTCTTGTAGAGATCTTTCACCTCCTTGGTTAGCTGTATTCCTAGGTATTTCTTTTTGTGTAGATGTTGTAAGTGGTACTGTGTCATTTATTTTTCTCTCTGCCTGGATGTCGTTGGTGTATAAAGAAGCTACTGATTTTTGTATATTTTTTCTGTGTCCTGAAACATCACTAAAGTTGTTTAGCAATTCTAGGATTCTTTTGGCAGAGTCTATAGAATTTTCTATGCATAGGATCCTATCAACAACAAAAAGAGACAGTTTGAAGTCTTATTTACTTATGTGAATGTCTTCTATTTCTTTCTCTTGTCTGATTTCTCTGGCTAGAACATCCAGTACAATGTTGAATAGGAGTGGAGGGGGCGGTGGTAAGCTGAGTCCAGCACTTGGAGGAAGGCGATCAGAGGTGGGATCGAGACCCTGGCTACACGGTGAACCCTCTCTACTAAAATATAGCCGGGGGGGGGGGGCCTGTAGTCCAGTACGGGAGGCTGGGAGGAGATGGCGTAACCGGGGGGAGTTGCAGTGAGTGGATGCACTCCAGCTGGGCAACTGAGCGAGACTCCGTCTCAAAAAAAAAAAAAAAAGAATAGGAGTGGTGAGAGTGGGTATTTTTGTTTTGTTCAATTATGAAGGGGAATGATTTGAGCTTTTGTTGATTCAAGTATGATGTTAATTGTGGGTTTGTCATACATGGTTTTTGTCATTTTAAGGTAAGTTTCTTTGATGTCTAGTCTGTTGAGGGTTTTTATCATGAAGAATGTTGAATCTTATCAAAAGTTTCTCTGGATCTATTGAGATAATCATATAGTTTTTGCTTTTGATTCTGCTTATGTGGTGAATCACCTTTATTGATTTGTGTATGTTGAAGTAGCCCTGCATGAAAGGAGTAAAATCTACTTGATCATAATGTAATAACTTTTTAATGTGCTGCTATATTCAATTTGCTAGTATTTTCTTGAACATTTTTAGGTCTATCATCAGGAATACTGGTTTAAATTTTCCCGCTTTTGTGTCTCTGCCAGATTTTGGTGTAAAAACTGGGCATACATATGCAGAAAAAAATGAGACTTTATTTCATATCATATACAAAAATCACCTAAAAATGCACTCAAGGCTTGAATATAATATGAAATCTAAAATTGTAAACACATAGAAGAAAATAGAGAAAAAAGAAGCTTCCTGGAATTGATCTGGAAAATGATTTATTTGGATTTGATACCAAAATCACAGACAAATAATTATGTGGAACTATGTATCTGACAAAGGGATCTACATAAATGTGTAAAGAACCCATACAATAGCAAAAAATAACCTGATTAAGATGGCAAAATGTATGTATAGACATTGTATTCAAGGGAAGACATATGCATGGCCAGCAGGACATGGAAAGGTGCTCCACATTGCTATTTATCGGGGGAATCCACATCAAAACCACAATGAGATATCACCTCACATTAGTTACCATGACTATTATCATAAAGAAAAAGATAACAAAATGCCGACAGTTGGCTGGTGAAAAGGGAATTATTCAGTGGAGTGGTAGTAGAGGTTATTTTACAAATTGAAAGTAAAACTATTATGTGATCTGGTGATCCCACTTCTGGCTGTGTATTCAAAGGAAATAAAATCAGTAAGTAAAATATATGTTTATTACAAGGTTATTCACAATGGTCTAGAATTTTTTAAAGTTAATGACCATAGGCAAATGGGTGTATAAAGGAAATGTATATACATACAATGGAATATTACATGACCTGTAACAATGATGAAATTATAACATTTCCAACAACTTGGATGGGCCTGGAGGACATAATACCGAGTGGAATAAGCCAGACAGAGAAAGACAAATGCTGCATTATCTCATTTACATGTGGAATCTAAAATATTCAAATTCTTAGAAGCAGAGAGTAGGAAAGTAGTTTCCAGGGCTGGGAGGAGGAGAAGCAGAGTGATGCTTGTCAAGGGCATAAAGTTTCAGTTGTGCAGGTTGAATGGGTTCTGGAGTTCTAATGTAAAGCATTGGGACTATAGTTATCAACACTGTATTGCAAACTTGATCTCTGGAAAAGGGATAGATCTCAGTTGTTCTCATCGGACACATACATAATAAAGGAGGAAAAATGGTAACTGTGAGTTAATAGACATTCTATTCCTTGGTCATAGTGAAAATTTTACAGTTTATACCAAAACATCAACTGGTGCACCTTAAATTATACAGTTTTATTGTCAATTATAGTTCCATAAAGCTGAAAGAATTAAGCTTAGTTTTATGATGAAGAAATGTATATTTCCACGTATTTTCTCAATAAAAAATGAGAAAAGATAAATATAAAAAATATTTATAGCAGCTTTGCTTATGATGTTAATAAACCAGAAACAAATTCAAAGTGCATTGACAGGAAAATGGATCAGCTTATTGTCATTTATTGCTAAATGGACTGACTCAAGTATAAAATTTCTCTCTCGCTGTCTCTCTCTGTTTCTCTCTCTTTCTCCATGTATATCAAAACTTTGAGGTTTTATATCAGAGGCAGTCTGTTAAGTGAATAAATGTAAATATACAGATGCAATTTTACATATGAAATAGCCTAAATAAACATCAAACATAACAAAAGTAGCCCTTTACCAGAAAAGGGGTCTATAATGTTGATTCCATTTATATGAAGCTCAAAACATGAACAATGAATCTACAGTGGCAGAAATCAAAACATTGTGTTAAATGTGGGAGCTGACTGGAAGCACAGAGAAGGCCACTTGTGCTGGGGGATGGGCCTCCTCTTCATCCGACCTTGGCTGTTGGAAACAAGTGTGTTTTTATTTGCCAGAAATCCTCTAATGGTACATTGCAGATCTATGCATTATTCCTTATATAGAAATTACATCTCATGAAAATAAAAAATTAAAAAGCATTGTATAAGAACTAGTTTAAAAATCAGTAAATAATGCAAATAATAAAATCATACTGAAAATGTGAACAATATAATATGAATTAATAAAATATACTCAACAATACCTGCTAGTATTAAATCCCAGAAATCAGAAAGATAAGGGTGACATCCAGTTATAATAACTTAATAAACATGCATTTCATAGAGAAAACAAACTGGTCAAAAAGATGTGGAACATGTATTTTGTTATAATCAAAAGTCGTTAAATAATTGAGATAATATTTTAACCTATCTTATTAGTATTAATTACAAATATCATGTGTAAAATAGTAACTGGGAACACCCTTTGGGGAAATAAGGATATTTGAGAGCACAAGTACTAAGTTAAATATAGTCTCAATGTTTTTCCAGCTATTACTGCTGAAATTTCTAATTGTGCCCTGGATTTCTAACAAAATGAAGACCCCTGTGATCCAGAAGACTGACCAATCCTAATGGAGAGGTAGCTCCAGGTCGTGTGGACTCAAACACAGGGGGACTGCTTCTGTCTTGATGGAGCTTTTCCTTTTTTAGAAAGTTGCAAGGGAGGTGTGGATGGGTTTGTCAACAAGGGTGGAATAGCCTGGTCAGGATGGCCATCAAGGAAGGACTCCGGTGGGACCAGGGGTCATGGAGGTTCAGATGAGGAGGGGTGTGATGGGTTTCTCAGGACAATCCAATCAGACCTGGTCAGGGAAAAAAGATGACCTAGGATGGATTAAATAATTGTTTTGAAAAATGATAAATTATGGTTATATATATATGAGGTACAAAGCAATGTTGTGATATATTAATACAATATGGAAATAAATATATAATGTATTAAACTAAAAATTATTAGCATTAATTCACAATGCTACATTTGAAAATGATTATCCAATTTTCATGTTTTTTGCTCAAAGTTGACTTTAGACATATTTTAAAATATTTATTATATGTAAATATAATATACATTATGCACAGTTTGGTATAGACCTATATCTAATGTTTAAGAAATAGATATAAAACTCTGGAAGAATAACTGCAAATAATTGGGAATAATTATTCCTTGAAAGTATATGTTTTTAAAAAATAACACTACATACAATGTTCAAAATTATTAAAACTTAAATACAAATGATAATAAATACATACTAAATAACAGTATAAAAATGTAACAACCTGTAAGATTCCAAAGTTCTGAAAACACAAACCTGACTTCTCCAGTTGAGAAGAAAGGAAACCTCCCCCTGGCACCTGCTCCTGGGAACGGTCCCGTCTTCAGTGGGTCCCGAGCGCCCCTGCAGGGAGGTTTGCATCTGGGCTCACACTGACCTCCCCTCACTGTGTCTCTAGTACAGTAATACACGGCCGTGTCCTCGGTTTTCAGGCTGTTCATTTGCAGATACACCGGGTTCTTTGAATCATCTCTTGAGATGGTGAATCAGCCTTTCACAGACGCGGCGTATTCTGTCGGGTAACTGTTAGATTTTGCTTCTAATACGGCCAACCCACTCCAGTCCTTTCCCAGAAGCCTGGCGGACCCAGTGCATAGCAGAACTACTGAAGGTGAATCCAGAGGCTGCACAGGAGGGTCTCAGGGACCCCCCAGGCTGGACCAGGCCTCCCCCAGACTCCACCAGCTGCACCTCACACTGGACACCTGCAAACACAGAGACACCCTGGTCAGAAACTGCCACACATATCCACTGTTCCTCTCACTCATGTCCCCTCACACTCAATATCTCTAGTTTTCCATGAATCACCTTTTAATATAGCAACAAGGAAACCCAGCTCAGCCCAAACTCCATGGCGAGTCTCCTGTATTCAGTGCTGGGAATCCCAAGGCTGGGGCTCCTCTCCCAGAGCTGCAGGGTCAGGGCTGGGCTGCTTTTCATCAGCACCAAGGGGGATATTATTTGCATGTCTCCTACTATATGGCAAGCTCCGGGTGGGACGCCTGATGAGAGGGCTGTGCACAGAGTAGAGAGTGTCCTGGGGGAGATTGGTAGCAATCCTGTCATTCAGGAAAATATTATTTCATAGTATGTGATCATATCTCGATAATCATTTAGCAGTCATCTAATTTCATTTTTACATACTTGCACACTGTATTTCTGCTTATATATTTCTGAGGTCCCTTGGCTTGTCTGTTTGATGTCTCTGTCCTCGACACTGACACTGTGAAGGGTCTGATGTCATCGTTCACAGGGGCAGTCCTGGATGTACACACAGTTTCCATGGAAACGCTGTCATTTGGCAGTGTTGCCTTTGACAGCCTAATTCTACTTGACCATTTGTGTCTCTTAACATCCCATCTAGATGTTACACTGTGCTCATTTCTGGAATGAAGACATTGTTTTGTAACATAAATTGATCAACAATCTGATGCAATTAAATTTGGCTTCTTTTGGGGGCAGTTTTTGAGGTTTGTCCTGACCCCAAAATGTTATTTTTTTGAGGAAATGGAGTCTAGCTGTGTTTTCAGGCTAGGCTTGAAATCCTTGGCTCAAGTGATCCTCTCACCTCAAACTCCCAAGTAAATGGAACTCGAGGCTGTGCCACGGTGCCCAGCTGGTTATTCTTCGATTACAGTTTTTCTTATTCTGTCTGTTAAAAATGAGTGGACTGTTGTTTTCTATATTGCTCTCATGGAGGTATCAGCTTTCTATTAATTACTTACCATGAAAACCACTAACATTTTAGATGAAAGTTTAGGGTTGAAAATACTCTCATTCAACTGCAAATCAAGGCACAGCCTTTAGAGAGAGCTTTGTATCACTGTTTTTATGCCCTGCCTCTATCACTATAAAAATATACCAGACTCTATCTTGGTGCAGAAGAAAGGGTTCAAGTATCTCAGAGGGACATTCCTGCTTTAAGTACAGAAAACTGCGTGGGAGTGGTGGACTCCTATGATCTCATTGTGCCTCTCCCAGGAAGCTCCCCAGAACCTCTGCCCCACAGGTGAGCTGGTGTGAGAATCACTGGGGTACACCAGTTTATGGCCTATAATACATGGCATAGAAACTCTGTCTTGTAAGTGAGGCTGGGAGGAGAAAGGCATCCACCAAATCACAGACTGGAATTTAGTCTCCGCCATAAAGACCCGACACCATGACGTCAACTGAGATCTGGGGGAGAGGGAAGCACCACCTTCTGCTCAGTTCAGCCCAAAGTCAAGATTCTGTGATCCTGAGATGTAAAGAAGAGGGTAATGCTCTTCTCTCAAGTATTCTGGGTCCTCACTGCACTTGCTGAGACTGAACTGCTGTGAGAGAATACCATGGACTGGGTGGCCCAGAAGTAACATAAATGTATATGTCCTGATTTTCAAGGCTGGGAAGTTCAAGATAAAGATGCGTTAGAGATTCGTATCTGGTGATGTCCCAATTCTTTATTTATAGATGGCCACCTTCCTACCATAACCATACCTGGTGGAAAGAAAGAGGAGCTCTCTGGGGTATCTTATCAGGGCACCAATTCCACTCAGGAGACGGTGCCTCAAAACTTTCAAAGGAGAATGAAGACCCCACCTCTACCACCATCACACTGGAGTTGAGATTCCAACATATGCCTTATGGGGGTCATAACCATTCAGTCAATAGGAGCACATTATAACAATCAATGATTTTTATTTACTGCGTGTTCTTAGAATAATTTGCTTTGATATTAAAGGCTGAGTTTTTATAATTTTTACCAGATGAGGTTGTTTCTTTGCAAAACTTGAAGTTTCTCAAGCCATCACCCTTGTAGTGAGATAACTCTATTCATATTCATAATTGAAGCTTCCTCATTAGGGCCATAAGCATTTTGAATGTTCTTCTCTTAAATCATTTCCCATGATAGAATAAACTTGTCCCCCCTCATAAGTATTATCATTTATTCAGAAATACACATTTTTTATATTTTAATATGCAAATCCACCTTTCCTTTATCTTTTGTTAATCGTGGTGTCTTTCTGTATGTTTTAAAATTTGTAAGTAAATATGTTTAAAATTTAGGATAGTTTTGGATTTTAAGGAGAGCTCCCCGTAGTAGGGCGTGTTCTCATGTACAACTTGCCCTGGTTCCCCCTCACTGGTCCACACTCTACCAAGCCTGGGTCTCTCTCCTGCCGTCTGTGGGGCTCACTATTCTATCTTTGTTTATTCTCTTTCTGTTTGGTTTTATGATTTGATGTTGTTTTGTAGTAATAATGTTTCTTTTCTCTTTTTTATTGTTTCTACCATTGAAATATAATTTTTGTGTGTTTTTTTCCAAGGTGATGGTTTTCATGCTGGCTTTTATACAAAAATTCCCTTAAATATTTCTTGTATGATCCATCAAGTGTAAAGAAAACATCTTAGTTTATCTCACCTGAGAAATATCTTATTTCTCTTTCATTTCTGAGAGAAAGACCATCTGGGTACACTATTTCTGAATTGCTGATTTTGCTTACTGCTTTTTAATTTATTCACCAATTTTATTAAAAACTCCTATAGATATCCAGGATCAAACATTATTTGTGTTTGGATCATGTCAAAACTGAAACTGTTTTTCATGATAACTATACTATTTTTAGTCCCACCATTATGAAAAACAGTATAGCAGCTCATAAATACATCAAAAATGGAAATACAATATGACTCAGCAAACTCTCTTCTGGGAATAGAGCCAAAGGAAATAAAATCATAAACTTGTAAAAACACCTGCACTCTAATGTTAATTGCAGCTCTATTTATGGCAGCCAATATATAAAAACAATCTAAGGGTTTGGTAATGGACAAAGGGATGAAGTAAAAGTGGTATAAGAAAACACTACAACGTTATTCAGCCTGATAAAAAAGAGATGCTTCCATTTGCCACAGGCTGGTAGGACCCCCACCATCACTACCAATGCACTCTATCCATTCCAGCCCTTTCCTGAGCTGGCAGATTCAGGCCCAGTCATAAGCACTGTTTGTAGCCGAGTGACCAGAGACACAATAAGTGATGCAGAAGGTCCGTGTGGACTCTTCTAGTCTAGGGCTGACTCTGTAGCTGCTCCAAAGACAGGGCACTGGGAGATGAAGAATCAGTCTCTGCTAGTCATGTGCAACCACATTCACCCCATAGATCAGGGCTTGACATCTGAGACAGATTGGGAAGCTGTCAACAGGCAAAAACAAAAAGAAAAAAAAATCACAGTGAAGTCATCTTCTTCATGAACACAATTCTGCATTTCACAGGTACTTTAGCACTATCTAACGAGAGAGCTTTTAGCTTCCAGAATCCAAAAGTGTATTTTTTCCTGGAGTTTGAACAATAATTTGGATGTGGAACAGGCTTGTCCATATAAGTCAGAGAAATTGAGATCAGATTCCTGCTGTATTTTAGTATTTTGTCTATTTTGTGGTTGTCTTGAAGCACTCATTGCCAAGGACTGTTTCCACTGCAGTTATTAAAATCGGCTCAATTTTCATTTTTCTATCAGTGACATGAGCTTTTTTTTTTTTTCCCAAGCCAAACTGTATCCAGCTTTATTAAAGATACTTTCCATAAACAATCATGGTATTTCAGGCAGGACATGGGCAGACAATCGTTAACAGTATACAACAACTTTAAAACTCCCTTCTTCAATGGACTACCAAAAATCAGAAAGCCACTATAAAACCCAATGAAGTCTTCATCTGATGCTCTGAACAGGGAAAGTTTAGAGTGAGGGTTGACATTTCACATTTAGCATGTTGTTTAACAACTTTTCACTAAGCCGACCCTGACTTTCTTGAAGTGAAATGAAAATGGCAGAATTTATCTGAAGAGCCACAATCTAGAAATGGAACCACTGCTGTTTAGACAGGTGCCATCTCAGTGGCATCACTGGAAAGTCCAGATTGCCTGACACACTGGTAACCAATGACTAGGGGTCAGGTCCCAACAGATGTCTGGGCTTAAGGGAGTTAAGTCTATACCGAAAGATGGAAAGGGAGAAGAGGACATAAAAACAAATTTGTTTTTCCATACCACAAGGCTTTTGTGCCAAGGTGGCCATGTGTGTTAAAGTCAGGGACTCCCTTCTCCTGGGAACCAAGAGGAAGTCTCTCAAAACCAGAAGGGAAGGATGTTTTCCCCACATCAATTCAGCTTTGGAGACTTTCTATTAGTGACATATGCCCCTTCCCACAAAAACAACAATGAAGTGTTCTGTGTGCTAACAACATAGCTTAAAAAAAAAAAGTAAAATTCCGCATTTTTATAAAACTTGATAAAAAATAGTATTTCAAACTGTACAGTCACCAGAAGTACACAGTTATCAAAAATGCACACACTTCACTTGGCATCTGCAGCACCTTCAGCTTTCTGTGCCTGGTCTCTTTTGGCATCTCCATTTTCTGCGGGGTTCTTCCCCTCCTTGCCAGCATCAGCTTTTCCCCTTTTCCCTTTGGGTACCTTCTCTCCCTTCTTTGCAGGGCCTTTTTAGGCTTGGGCTCTGGAGGAGCAGGTTTAGCAGACAGCCTCGCGGATCTTCTCTGTGGTTCGTCCTTCACCTTGGCTTTATCTCCGTTAGCATCCCCTTCAGCCTTTCTCTTGGGCATGGTGGCGACGGCGGCGGGACGTAGGTGCTGGACGCGGGATGCAGCGCGCGCGGGCTTTGGTCGGTCTGGGGGTCGTTCTCGCCTCTTCTTCTTCACACTGCTCCGACATGAGCTTTTATGTCAAGTGACTGACATGTACACCCTACAGAAAATATTACAAAATAACGCTGTGAGTCCATTCGTCATTCTTAAATACTACACTGCCATTAACACCAAGAATCCTCTGGAAAGCTTGAACTAAAAATAAATAGTAA